CTCCTGGTGCTGGGTGGGCCCCCCTCCACATTTTTCTCTCTTTGTCTTCCCGCCCCCCCCCCCCCCCCCCCCCCCCCCCCCCCAACACCCTGTCCCCCACTTTTGTATATTGGAGATCTCTACAGACTTGTTCCTCCATTTCTTTCTGACTGTTGGGAGGTCTGAAGTACAATCCCATCAAGGTGATCATGGGATTCGAACCCGGGTCCCTCAGAATACCCCAGCAATTATACCACTAGGCCGTCATCAATGTTCTACAATGATGATTGAAAGATGAACATTGGACAGCGCTTTGGGGCAAATATTCCTGCTGCTCCTTTCTCAATGGGATCCGAGTGATAGGTATCTCGGGTTCTGTCACCATCCTTGTAAATCTCTGGAATGGTGAAGGCGTTCAACCCATTGGTTAAAAACCTTTGTTTGTTTGGTTTTGCCCCAGTCCCTCGATTATTGGAGGATGACCTGATGGAGCTGGGGGTGTGGCAAGGGCTGTGATATGGGGCCCCCTCATGTCCCAAGCAATATGCAGATAGTGAGGGAGGGATGGTGGTGGGCGAGAAAGGTAAATGTATCAGTCATATCTGTTTGGGTTGCGGTATCTGCTCGAGGGGCTGAATGGCCTCTTCCTTCCCCTATTTCCCAATTTCCCAGATTGACCACCTACAGAAATCTTTCCCTATGGACCTAACCAGATGGATTGAAGAAATCTGGGACTGTTTCCCCTTGGAGACAGGGAGATCTGACCAGACCGAATCAAAAACGAAAAAGAATGCAAGGGCATAAATTTAAAGTGATGTGCAAATGGAGTGAGGGCAGTGTCTGGGGGAAAAGAAACCAGGGGGTTGTTAGCTCGGTTGGCTGGAAGGCTGGTTTGCCATGCAGGGTGATGCCAACAGCATGGGTTCAATTCCCACATTGGCTGAAGTTACTCTCCTCCTCCTTCAACCTCTCTCCCTCCTCGCCTGAGGCGTGACGACCCTCTGGTTAAACCACCACTTGTTATGTGTCTCTAATGGGAGAGTAATCACAGAATCCCCTACAATGTGGAAGCAGACCATTTGGCTCGTCGAGTTTCCACACCAACCCTCTGAGCATTTCCCCCAGCCCCACTCCTGTAACGTATCCCTGTGACGCTGCATTTCCCATGGCTAAACCATCTAGCCTGCACATCCCTGGACACTCGCTCTTCCCTCTGGGATTAAGGTAACTTTGCCTTTCACATCTTAAAGTTGGGGTCTGGAATGCACTGCCTGAAAATAGTGGGGGATCTCGAGGGGCAATTGATGATCATTTTGGTAGAAATGGCACAAATATGTTTAAAAATGCAGTGAGTCTTTTTTCCCAATCTGCTCATGGGATGAGGCTGCTGCTGTTTAGGCCAACATTTATTGCCCATCCCTCGTTGCCCAGAGGGCAGTTAAGAGTAAACCACATTGCTGTGGGTCTGGACTGGCATGTAGGCCAGACCAGATAAAGATGGCAGTTTCCTTCCTTTAAGGACGTTAGTGAATCAGATGGGCTTTTCCCAACAATAGGCAATGGTCATCATCAGACCCTTAATTCCAGATTCCACATAGAATTCAATTTCCACTAACTGTCGTGGTGAGATTTGAACTTGGGTCCCCCCAGAACATTTAGGTGAGTTGGCACTAGGGACAAGAGCGCTAGGGCTGAAGAGCCGCCTCCAGCGCTGTAACAATACTGTGGGAGCTCCTGAAGATTCGCTAGCTTCTCCAGCATTTCTGTGTTTATCCACACCACATCAACCCCGCCACGCTTCCTCTTCCTTTGAACATTTCCTTTGTTCATGTATGCCACAAGCCCCTCGAGTATTCTATTCCCAGCGCTGAAGTTATGGCCTTCTATTCCAGCCATTCCTTTGCTGAACCATCTGCAAAAACGCTAGCCCTTTCCGCTGCTATTGCGTCCTGCTCCTGATGTGGGCTGGGTTAAGGTTTGGCCATGGTTATGGAGTTCAAGCTGCTCCTCCCTCATTCCACCCACCCACTGGAGGGGCATATAGACACTGCGTGGCCAATTTGCACGCACCAGCCACCTCCCACAAGCACTCGATTATGTCTGACCCTCTCTGGGACCTTGTCCTGTAGAAAGCTGTATTGTAAGAACTGGCAGATACAATTACTCCCTCGCTGTTGCTGTCTGCTGTTTTTTTTAAGAAAACCTTTTTTATTTCTGTAACTGGGAGATTCTCCTGGGTGCAATTGGCATTGTTGGAATGTTACTGTAGGAGAGTCTCGTCAGCTTGTTGTGTTTTTTTTTGCTTTCAAGCGGAGCAGTGAGCCTGCTGGCTTCGCGTTATCTTGAGGATAGTAAGAACCGCCGATGCTGGAGTCACCAGGTGTGGAGCTGGATGAACACAGCAGGCCAGGCAGCATCCGAGGAGCAGGAAAGCTGACGTTTCGGGTCGGGACCCTTCACATCATCTTGACTTGTTTCCTTTTACCAGCGTCTGTCCCCATCCCCCTGCACGCTTCTCCCCACCCCACGCTCCAAGACAGTCCCCATGCTTACTTGGAAATATATCGGCCTTCCTTCAGCGTCGCTGGGTCAGAATCCTGGAACTCTTTCGGTTCTTGTTTCTCTCTGCTAAGAATGCTGCCAGACCCTGCTGAGTGTTATTTCCAGCTCTACACCTTGTTATCTCGGACTCTGCAGCATCTGCAGTTCCTACTGTCTCTGAAAAAGCTTTCCTGCTCCTCTGATGCTGCTTGGCCTACTGTGTTCATCCAGCTCTACCCCTTGTTTTCAATGACTGGAAGCAGTTGCTTTGGTCCAGCCAGTGACGCCCACATCCTGTGAAAGAATATCTTTTTTGTTTGTAAAGACAGAATAAATGCATTCTGCTTCATCGCCTGCGGTCTTGTTTACAGGAAACAGAGACAACATCTTGGTATCTGGTCATTTGAAATGAGAAAGGAATGGAAAAACTGTGATCTGGACACAGCTTGGGTTACAAAGATGCACAGGTTAGGGTGAATTGGCTGTGCTAAATTGCGCGTTGTGCTGGCTAGGTGGGTCGGCCATAGTTAATGTGGGGATAGCTCATTGGACAATCAGTAGACTTGATAGGCCAAATGGCCTCTAATCTGCACTGTTAGGGATTCTATGATTCTTTAATTTTGCTTCTACCCGTGCTATCAGTGTCAAGTGGTTTGCTCCCTTCTCCAAGCTGGGTTTGAGGCATGGGGTGAAAGTTGATCTCGTGTCGGAGGGGGTAATGGCTAGTAGGCTAGGGAAGGCATCACCATCCGGCTATCTATCCAGGATGCAAGGCTGGTGAGCAGATGTCGCCTGGGAGGCTTTGCGGTCTGAGCGTGCGGTTTCTGTCATCACTCGCCTACAATCTGTGTTTGCTCCATCTTCACGGCATTGTGATTTGTGGTGGTTTAATACCAGGCCAAGTCACCCAGCCCCAGTACTGCAGCTCTGCAGAGAAACCAGCCTGTGCCAACTTGGCCGATCATAACCACATTCAAAAATATAGATGTGTTTTGAGAGATGTTCCTCCACACTGCTTCCTTCCAGTCACTGCCCTGCACCCTGGGGGGCGGTGTAGTGACACCGAAGAGGAGGCGACAACAGGTGACCCTGCCTTATTGTCCTGTTTATTTGTCAGGGTGCTGGGGGTTGGGTGTTACTGAATTTATCTGGTAAACGTCATGTACTGTCACCTGGGAAAGGGAGCACTGTATCACACCACCACCTCTCCTTTTGCCCTCCTGAGTGCGCCCTCTTCTCGCTCCCACACCTACCTCATCACTATGGTAGAAGACTTGGAGGGGTGATCTAATGGAAATGTAAGGTTCTTGAGTGCATGAGGTGGTGGGTGGGTTGGATACTGGCAAAACGCCTTCTTTTTTTCCCTCTGACTGGGAATCGAGAACCTGGGTGTTTTGGCAGGATAACGTTCTGGGCGGAAATGAGGAGAAATTGCTTCCATATTGGAGCATGGTGAATTTTCTTTGGAATTCTCTGCCCTGGGGATTGTTAAAGCTTGTTGGTCACCTACCTTCAAGACCCCCCACCCCCAGGTCAGCGAGGGCTTTTATGAACAATGGAGAAGGTGGAGTTGAGCTGTTGCCATGACCATGTTAAATGGTAGAAAGAGCTCAAGGGGCCGAATGGGCTACTCCCCTCTCTCCTGTTCTGATTCGAAGCCAAGAGTAGTTAACACCGTGCCAACAAAGACTTCTCTTGCAGTGGATCCTCTGCTCCTGGTGCGCTTTATCACTGTCTGCGCTAAGCCATTCATCCTAATTACGCTGAGCATCAGCCTGTCTGTTAATAGAAGTGAATAAGTTGCTTCTATCATCTCTAAGTGAATAATTACGCAACACATGTAGGTCCGTGCTGTATTCCAACCCTGACCCTTCCCCCAAAAAAAAAAGCTGCTTCTGCTCCACTTCTAGTGGGGAGGACGGATGTTGGGACACTCTGCCCTGGGTTAGTCCTGGGATAGTAAAGGGTCTTGTGGCATACTGATAGGGTCCCTACTCCTGGGCCGGGAGATTTCTATTTGACTTCCACCTGTCCCAGACACGTGTCGTAGCTTTGCTTCAAAGTATTTATGAGAGATTGTACTACACCTGTATAGGGTGAGCCTCGCCAACCACCCTTGACCCAGCAAGAAGACTGAGTGTCTGGTGTCACAGCTGTGGTTTCTGTATCTCTGCACCAGAAGCTCTGGTGTTCGATTACTATCTCGGGAAAGGGGTTGATTTTTTTTTTTAAACTTTTGGATATTATGAAGACGTCAAGGGGTGTGGACGATGTGAGCTGGCGCTTTTGCGGGGTTGGAATTTGGATGATGGTGGTAGATTTGGCAGTGACTTCCAATTGGACAAACCCTTGCATGAGAAAATAGATTTTTTTTTTGAACAGTGAAGGAATGAGCGGTTAGGGTGAGCAGGTGGGTAAGCGGAGCCAAGTTCACAAAATGGTTTGCCATCATTTTATTGAATGGCAGAGCAGGCTCGAGGGGCCAGATGGCCTACTCCTGCCCCTAGTTCTTCTGTTCTTATGTTGCCCTGATTATCAGGGACAGAGCAACGGGGAATGGGACTAAGCATCCTGCTCTTATTGAACAGCTGGCTTCGGATTTGAAAGGTTCAATGACTCATCTCTTGTTTGTACTAATCTGAAATTGTATAATTCAGTGGTTTCTGCTTGAATGAAAAAAGAATCCCACAATGAGAAAATTGGCACAAAGCTTTGACTGAGAGTCCTATCTCTCAAATCGGCAGTGTTTATCAACCAGCTAAACCAAAAATCTTGTTAATGGTATCTAAATTTCATCTCCAGTATTTGGTTCGTGTTAACTGAGAGTCCGTTCATAGGCCTGTCTTACCAGTACCGGCAGGGACGGGTGTGTCCCTGTGTAACACGGGTACAGTACTGGCGGGGACGGGTCTGTCAGATTTTAAAATTGCATTATTGTTACGGACTCCCCCACCAGCATCCTAGGGGACACCATTGACCAAAAACTGAACCAGACTAATCATATAAACAGTGGCTAAAAGAGCAAGTCCGAGGCTAGGAATACTGCAGCGAGTAACTCATCTCCCGACTCCCCGAAGCCTGTCCCACCATCGACTAGGCACAGGTCAGGAGTGTGAGGGAATACTCCCCACTTGCCCTGGAAGACTGCAGCTCCAACAACACTCAAAAAGCTCGATACCATCCAGGACAAAGCAACCCCCTCTTGATTGGTACCACATCCACAAACATCCATTCCCTCCGTCAACTGGCACTCAGTAGCAGCAGTGTGTACCATCTACAAGATGCACTGCAGAAATTCACCAAAGATCCTCAGACAGCACCTTCCAAACCCACAACCTCTACCAGCGAGCAGGACAAAGGCAGCAGATTCCCCTCTGAGCCCCCTCACCACACCGACTTGGAAATATTTCACCGTTCCTTCAGTGTCACTAGGTCAAAATCCTGGAGCTCCCTCCCTTATTGCACTGTGGGTGTTCCTACACCACAAGGGACTGCAGCGGTTCAAGAAAGCTGAGTTTTTATTTCTCCGGACCTTGTGTGTTGAGTGTGCTGTCAACGGAAAACGAGCAAGGTGGCTACATCAAAAAAAAAAATAAAGTGCCGGAGAAACTCGGCAAGGTCGGGCAGCGTCTCTGGAGACGGGGAGAGAGACGGTTAATGTTTCAAGTCTGCTATGACTCGTCTTTCTCCGAATAGCTGATAACTCGCTGTCGTCCGCGTAGGCCTAGGGAAATTCTCAGTTCTTGTGAGAATCAAGAAACGGCTGTTTCTAGTTCAGTCGCTACTTTGTCACTTTTTTTTTGAAGCTGCCCTTATACCAGCCAAGGTAATGTTTGAATGAGCTCACGCAGCAACTCTCTGAAGAGCATCCTAACCAGACCCAGCCCCCTACCTTATCCCTGTAACCGGGCATTTCCCATGGCTAATCCACCCTAACCTGCATATCTCTGGGCACTATGGGACAATTTAGCATGGCCAATCCCACCCTAACCTGCACATCTTTGGACTGTGGGAAGAAACCGGAGCACCCAGAGGAGACCCACGCAGACACTGGGAGAATGTGCAAACTCCACACACAGTCGGGCAAGGCTGGAATCGAACCCAGGTCTCTGTGAAGCAGCAGTGCTAACGGCCGAGCCCCTGTACTTGAACGAAAGCAAAATCTGAAATGGGCACCAAGAATGCTGGAGAAACTCGGCAGCGTCTGTGGAGAGAGAGAGAGAAACTCTGTTAACGTTTTGTGTCGAGTGACCCTTCTTCAGGACTGCTGTGTAGGTGCCAGCCCAGCTGAGTTTCTCCAGCAACTTTCTGTTTTTATGTTTCTAGAGTGGGTTGCTCACTATTCTGTGGTAATGTCAGCTGGTTTGTGTAGGGGCAGGGGAACAAAAAAATGAAAGCTGAAGAAACTCAGGAGGTCTGGCAGCATCTGTGGAGAGAGAAAGCAGAGTGAACTTTTTGGGCCCAGTGAGCCTTATTGTGTGGGAGAAGAAGTCTTCTCCATGTCGCCAACTATTGGTCACACTTCTTCCCATCTCCTTTTATGTGCAATGTCAGACCTTTCAAGAGTCCTGTGTACAACTAAATTCAGTCAGGACAGGCTCTGTCACTGGGTCCTTCCAGCTGCCTGTCTGTCTCATTGACCTTTGTCGTACTGGTCCAGGGTTTGCTGTAGCTGACCCAATCTGAATCTACGGTCACTGCACACCACCTCATTCTGCTTAGAGATAGTAAGAACTGCTGATTGCTGGAGTCCGAGACAACACCGTTGTGAAGCTGGAGGAACACAGCGGGCCAGGCAGCATCAGAGGCAGGAAAGCTGACGTTTCGGGTCGGGACCCTTCTTCAGAAGGGTTTCTGAGGAAGGCTCCCGACCCGAAACGTCAGCTTTCTTGCTCCTCTGCTGCCTGGTCTGCTGTGTTCCTCCAGCTCCTCACTCCGCTTCCCAGTTCCCATCAGTGGAGACTGCAAACGGGTGACTGGGGAATGGTACTGAATCTCTATGTGCTCTGCCCATGTGGTCCCTGTCCCACAACCCCCTCCTCCACCACCTCCCTCCCTCTCTCACTCATGCTCTTGCACACAGACAGAGTTTCTCACGTGTGCTGTCCCCGATGTGGCCCCTGAGTCACTGTCCAGACCCAAAAGCACATGTTCCCCAACCCAAACAGACTCCCTTGCCCACCCCTGATAGAGACTTTCGTCAACTAAGCCTTTGGTGTCACAGAACCCCTCTGCTCACTGTTGCATCTCTTTTTGAAGTGGAGTTCATCCTAATGTCCTGACTTGCTCCTCACCCCAATCATCCATCGTTGACATCTGCACGGTGTCACAGACTGCCCTAGCTAGCTCCTCCACCATGGAGATGTCACATGTAAAATACTAACCCCTTCCCCTCTCTCGTTCCGAACTCGAGAGAGAGAGGTGCCCTTACCTTGGAGGGAGGGCAGCAAAGGCTCACTCAGCTGGG